TAAGCAGAAATAATTATTTCATTTTATTTTTAAAAAGAATGGATTATTTTTCGAGACAATGAGGTCACTTACACACAAAACTTATAAAATAAAGATCCTAGACGGAAATATCACTATTTATTAAAAAACTGACTATTTTTCAAGAAGACGATGTCACTTACCCACAAATATTTGAGAGGGAGCTTCCGATAAAAAATTGGTTCGAGAGAGGAGTTCACTGTGTTTCGACCAGAGAGAGAAAGATCTAAAAATTTTCTAAGGTGGGAGTGCTCACCTCCCCTATTTAAATTCTTATAACGTATTATTATATTATTTTATTAGGCTCTACCTCATACTTGAGGTATCGCGTTAAGAGTCTGTTTTTAACATATGAAAACCACGTCCACTAAAGGACGTGGCAAGCAGTAAGCAAAAGTTTAAACCAAGTAAAAACTTTTGAAAATAGTGATGGTCCCCAAGGACCATCATACCCAAACAGACCATCACCTATTTAAAAGTATCTTTTCTCTTCTTTTTTTTTTTTTTTTAATTTTAGGATTGTTACACTAGTGCACCAAAGTGTAGTTGTCTAAAGAAAAAGTTCGAATTTAGGAAGAGTGTGTGTGAGAAAAATGAGTAGTGAGAGAGATGGATGGGTGTCAAAGCTATGCAAAATTGTGTTTAGAGGAATGGGAAAAACAGCCCATTACTACGAATTAACTCTGCAAGTGAAAGTTTCGTACCATTGCACTACACAATGTGACTATTGGATTTCAAATAGCATATGTGCCTCAAGTCTTGAACAGCTAGTGTCTATTGAAATTCTTGTGTACCACGTAAAATTAAATTGAGCCTTGAGCCCGACCTTCTTAAGTGCTCGGGCGAGGGGAGCTTCATGTGCCGATGCCACACAAAAATAAATCAAGCCTGATTTGTATATGTGCTCAGATGAGGGGTGCCTCATGCACTGATGCGAAATGCAAAGTGCAATATTAAGCGCCCTCACATGCGCACACACATCCACGTTGCAGAAGCACCCACTATCTTACTTTTGTTCTAAAAACATAATGTATTTTGTTTAAACTACTCAATCCCCAACTCTCTTCTTAAGCTACTCAATCCCCAACTAAAAACTCACTCATTTCTTTCTGAACATATGTAAAACTTAGGAAACCCACACAATACATAATGTTATTTTGAAATACTCTAACAGCGAGACCGCCTGTTAATCGGCTTTGAGGATATCGACTTCCAGAAATTTGGTGTATCTAAGATCTTTAAAAATTAAAATTATGGTTTTTTTCCATATTTGTTTCAATTTTTAAAATTACAATTAAGTAATCTACATCATGGAAATCTCTATCTCTCACACTGTGCGCATATGGGTGTCTATGGTTTTTGTGAGTGTCGCGGGCGCACAACATAGGCGAAGATGCAAAAAGATTTAGGGCACGTTTGCTTGCTATGAAACCAAGTTCTATGAAATTAATTTCCTAGAAAATATGCATCATCTTATGTTTAGTTCGTAAATAAAACTATTTCCAGGAAATTGGGTAAAAAAATCAGAAATCGATTAAACCAGAGCTCCCACCGCATCCCTCTCTCTCTCTCTCTATATCATTGTGCCCAAATCTTTCTCAAAAGCCCCAATCTCCCTGTCCCATAGCACTAAAATCTCCCAAATCTGTTTGAACAGAGACCTTGGTTCCAAGTCCCTCAAAGAAACATTCAATCAATCCAAACCCTCAAGCATCAGGTACGTTTTTTTAGTGATTTTGCCGAGATTTTATAGTTATTTTTCCTGTAATTGTTCTGTTATTTGCAGCTAGTGTTTGATTAGTGAGCAGTGAAACCATCTATATAGTTTTTTGTGGTTCACAGTGATTTAAATAGAAGTATAGTGATTTGCAGTTATTTAATTTGATTAAATAACTTTTTTGCAGAGCTTTTAGTGATTTATAGTAATATGTAGTTTTATACAAAGTAAATATCTCATTAAAAAAAAAGAAATAGCGATTAAATATCATTTTTTTAGTGATTTATAGTAATTAAATAGCACCTCTCTATCTCTGTCTTGTTGGTTCATTTTGATTTTGAAGCCTAGTGACTTTGTAAATGCAAATCATTGACTTCTTTTTTTTCTTTATTGAACTTTGTTTCAGCTATTTGGTAATCTTGATTTGAGCTAGAGATATAAATTGGGTTCTCTGTTTTCCATTGTTTTTCATTTCAATTGACTTTAATTTGCTTGAAATCAAGCACCCCTCAATTAGATTAGTGTGATTGTTGTTTATATTTCTTTGATAAGATTTTCTTACTGCGATATCTACTACATGAATCAATAGTACAATATTTATGTAGTTCCAATTTGTAGAGGAAAAGAATAATTTGTTTATGGTCCTCTCACATCTTTACTTCAGCCTCAAATTATACGAGCTGGGTGAATATATGAGGTATTCCAAAGTACTCATTGGTCATCTGATTTTAGATGGCATGGAAACTAATTGGTCACCTTCTCTGGCTTGACAACTTCATTTAAGCTCATAAATGGTGATCATGGTGTTCTATATTGTGTATTTTGGGGGCTAGGAACTCTCTCTCCCTAGAATGAGTGAGATTGGTTGGAGCATTGGTTGAATGGGAGTAGGATGACTATTGAAACCCAACACTTTTAGGGTTCAATGTGTTTGAATTATTTTTTCTATAGAATATGTGAGGGGGCTGGGAACTCTCTCTCCCTAGAATGGGTGAGATTATTTGGAGAAATGGTTGAATGTGGATTGGTTGGAGAAATGGTAAATGTAGAGTGGTATGACTATTGAAACCCAACACTGAGACTGATAACCTAACCTCCATATTTTTATATTTATTATTGTTGCACAAGTCAAAGAGAGATTTCAGATCCCTCTGCATTATCTTAGGTATGTTGAATTTTTGTTCCATTTTTGAAGAAATTTGTTCAAGAAAACTTTTTGCCTTGTTCTGTTTTATTGCTGTTGTTAATGTTTTGATTGATCTTGAGAATTAGGTTTGCATCATAATGACTTTTTAGTGTGGGATTTATGCTCGTTTCTCTCTTTCCATGTCTCAGATGATGATTCCCTGTTCTTGAACCAAAAAAAAAGGGTCCATTTTGCTGGAAATAAAATTAGAAATTTATCATATTGGACGAAAGAAGCTTCTAAGGTAGACAGTGAATTATTTTGTTTCTCCCCAAAAGAGGGGTTATGGGTATTTATCATAAAATTGAAAAATGGGTGCATGGGTATTTTTGCAGTGATGTGATGGTGGTTGTTAAGTACGGTTGTTGCGTATTGCTGTATATCAAAGTGTTGTGCTCCTATGGGGCACCTCTGATCATGATCTTGCAGGCATCATGATCTTGCTCAAGCAATCTTGTGATGATTGATCTGTGCCGGAGTGGAAATAGATGAATTTTTAAGGCCAATAGGTGATCCAATGAAAATGAAATTGGAGAAAATCAAGGAACATCTTCCTACTGTCACAGACCAAGCTGACCTAGTAGAGGAAAAGGTTAATTTTGATGGTAGTCCTTTGGGGAACCAAGACTGTAGGTACAGATGATGCATAGGCTCCTCAAGTGTATGAACTATGAAGTCATCTCCCTGGAGTAGGCACGATAGTCTTATAATAAAAAGCAGGTGGATGAGCACACTGGATTTTGAGCCTACACGATTGATAAAGCCCATATACATCAGGCATAAAGACGAGGAATTTCCTAGCTCTTCCATGTCAATAAGTTTTTTTTTTTAAATTAATGAAGTCAATGAATTAGTGTTCTGTTTTGATTCACATATCAAAGAAGGAAAATGAGCCTGTCATTGCCTGCCATAAGCATGTTATCTTCATATATTAAACAGTTATATATTACCTTGGAGAAACTCATCCGATATGTACAGAAATTTGCAAACTGATCTGTCATTAACTGAATGAGGTTTAGCTTGTGTATATTCAATGAGTGAAATTTGTGCAAGAATTCGTTGGACTTTGGGAAGGTGTGCTCATTTAAGTTGTATATCCATTCTATCTATGTCTGATCAATACAAACTTCACTTGCAGTGCCTGTACTTGTGCTCCTCTAATCATTTTGTGTTGGCTTTGTTTTCTTTACTACATTTTTTATGCAAATAAGCATTAGTGTGTGTGTTTGTGCATGCTCATGCACATAATAAATTGTTTTATCTTGGGCTTTTATTCATTCTGTCGCACTTATGATCAATGCTATGTGTTTGGTCCATCCTAGCTGGAAGTTGTGTTTGTTTGTATTTCATTTCAAGTATTTGTCCTGCATATCGAACAGACTCACTTTGGCCATAGCTTGAACCCCTTGATTTATGCTATAGCTTGAACCTCGTGTTTATTTGCACACTCAATGGTAACTAATCATTTTCAATAGATATAGTGTTTTCCTCGCTCAATCCTTTGTCTGCAATTCTTTGCATGGGTGAGTGGTGAGGACTGGTGATAGATATATTTGACCTAGTGGATGCTGGGTGTTCTGGTTATGCTCCTATAAGACTCATTTCTTGAGAACACCCATGGCCGGAAAAAAATAGTTGGGAGCACAGTTGGTGCTTTTGTTTCAACAATCCACTTGAGAGCCATCTAGGAAGAAGATAGTAACTCACAGTCCCCAAGGCAATGCACATTTGTGCGACGAGGTAACTCAACCATGAGCGAAACCAGATTTCCTTGTCACTTGATATGCATAGGCAGTTTAGGACAGGTTGATCCTTGTCACTTCATGGCTTTGAGAGACAGAGAGGTTCAGTTATATATGGGATTCCTGATGGGGCTTTGACTGTTGTACCTATGAAATTCCTTGGATATCTGATAGTGGGTTTCTCATTCTCGATGTGCTGATCAGATATGTAAAGCGATTCGTATTCAATTTGCAATTGGCAACACTTCCTAAAACTTTACTCATGAATTTGTGTTACAACAACATTTGCAGGGGGTGCAATTTGCCAGCAAAATTGAATGAATATTTCTCACATTTGTTTTGGTTGGAGTGGCTCTAGCCTTGGTTGTTGCGTTTGCTTATGGTCTCAAGACAAAAGGAGAGGAACAAGCTTATGAGTCTTTTAATGGTCAGCCCTAAGCTCTTTATGCCTAACTCATGGTTTGCTTTAGATTTTTGATAGTCAAGGCCAAAGTCTGAACATCTAATGAAAAATAATGGAAAGTAGATGGTTGTATAATGCATTGGATGGTGTCAATGAGATATCTTATTTCTGATACACTGACTTTCCTTGTAAATATAGTGGGTGTAACTATGAAGTTCTATGTGTGCAGGGTGTTTATCATGGAGAACTCTGAGCAGGGTATCCATGAGGATTTACAAAACAAGGCCAAGTTGAGGAAGAGGGTGGGGGTCGATAAGAATGACTCTTCAATGAAGGACTTGGTGATGTTCCACTTTGAGACTATATTGCTCACATTAGGTTTCAGCTTGGACGACCCCAACACTTTTGCAGGGAGAAGTCATATGATGCTTAAGTTGGGTCTGAGCATCAATGAAGACAAGGCTGCTAATTGGGCACATGAGAGACCCCTCTCTCTCTCTCTCTCTCTCTACTCGAAAACTTTTTGTTGTTTTGGAGATGGATGATAGAAAGTATTGAGTTGTTAATATCGTTGGGTTTTATAGATAATGATGTTTTTGAAGTTCATGAATGAAATAAAATGAATATGAATTTCATTCTTTGGACGTATACATGTTAATCTATTTAGCTTTTTAAATCTATTTGAATGTCAATCTTTAAAAAATATGTTCTTTACTCCAAGGTGGAAGAATGGTTATTTCTCTACTCCAGGGTGAATGAACCATACAATTTCACCATCAATGGGTTCTCTTATACTTTTATGATGCAAATTTTTTTAACATTGTGGTAAAATCTAATGGACTTTTGCGCTACGGCCGGTGGATATAAAGATCGGTAGAGAGAGACCATTTAAAGACTAATAATTCAAACAAAAGATATATCAATACCAAATCCGTTTTTCATGTCTTCATGGGAAGGGATAGAACGAATAAAAAAATTATATGTATGTGGATCTAATTGTTTGAACCAATGGTTTAAAAAACGGATCGGGGAACCGGATCCGGATCGGCGAATCGGCGATCCTGATCGGGAATCTGGTGAATCGGTCAGAATAAAGCTTTAAAAAAATCCAAAAAAAATATTAAAATTCATTATAAATATTTTTTTTTAGGAATTCAATAAGAAATGAGGGTACTCCATTAAGAATTTTCATGTTTTTGAATGAATATGCGCATATTGATATGTTCTTTCCCTGCATGAACCGACATTCAGCATTTAATTTACATCACATAAAAGGATAAACATAGAATTATCATGGAATACGTATATCAACATACATGGACTACAATAAAGCATAAGCATAAAATTAGTAAACATATGATCTAAAAATAAAATGATAGACGACGTTATTGCTCTTCTTGATCACGTTGGTGCCATTGATTGAATTCGTTTAACAATTCATTGATTCGATCTAAAAACAAATCATCGATATTAGCAGGCGTCTGACTATTCCCAAATCCCTGAGTGTTAGTGTTCTGTTGTGTCCCCAATCTAAAATCCTCAAAGA